AACTATTGTAAAAATAACAATATTCTATTATTAAGCCAAAATAGTTAATTTTAATTTAGCATTTATTTCCTGTGTCTATTTTCTGGGTCAAGAAAGCAAAAATAGCTACCAACGATTCCCTCGTTTTCACCCGGACAAAAATGTAAACAATAACAATACTTCCGCGTTATCAATGTTTCTGTTTTTTTCCATTATTTTTTTCCGTCGATCATGTTTTCCGTAATGACGAGTACCAATGCTCCCGACGCCAGGAAGGCAGCTCCCACATCTGGACCCTACATATCGACCCATCAACTCATGAACCGGGGGCTTTTATTTTATGCCTCTGAAATTCAATTGCAATTTCTGCAATTTTGTTTCAAAAAGAAAACGAAACATAAAAAAAAATGCCATATTATTTTTGCATCAATAAACATATTTTTATTTCTACTGCGTGAATTGTCAGACTTTATAAAATAAATATGATTGAATCAACAAGAAATCTCTTTTAAAAACAAACTTTTTTTTGTTGTTGACCCAGCTGCCAAATTTGACAGCTTACGTCAAAACCATGAAAGCTCTTGTAAATTCTAACATATTTCCTTATTGATTTAACAATCCATGGGTTTTTAGAAACAAAAATACTGGATTGTTGAAACAATAATGATTTCTTTTTGCAGCCAAAACAAATATTATTACTTTTAAAATATTTCTTTCTGCGTGTACCCCTAACCAAACCAACTGAGCAAAGCAAAATGATAAAACATATTTAGTATCCCTAATTTATTAAAATTTTCAATAAATGTATGTTAATAAAGATGTTGCGCGTTAGTGAACGTTCAATTCTTAAAGATTTCTTATTTTTATCGAAGACATTCCTAATTCTTCATCTCATTTCTAGATAGAGCTGGAATTAGGGCGTAACAGCTTTTGTAAACAATGACTTCTATCGATGATTTCTAGGAACTCAAGGCACGCCCACGCAGACCAACATAACCATCGGATAGGGGAAGTCTTTCCCTATCCGATGAGGATGTTGGTTTGCGTGAGTGAGCCTTGAATTTCTAGAAATCATCGATAGAAGTCATTGTTTACAAAAGCTGTAAGGCCCTAATTCCAGCTCTATCTAGATTTCATCTTATTTATCTCTAACTTTCACTTTTTTTTCTATTTTTGAGCGAATTCGCCTACGTAAAGGCATAGAGGTAAATTTTCACCGGTTCCACTGACCTGGAACCCCCGGACACCCGAGGGGGGTGACACATCTAAATCTCAAGTTTAGATGCTCAACAAATCTCACACTAGCGAATCAATCTTCGAAATATCTTCTTTCATTTGTCGCATCTACTTGCATCGCTCATCATCTTTTTGCAGGAAATCTTCAGAATCGTCATCAATCTTCTTTCTATCTACTCAGTGTGCGCGCAGCTAGCCACAGCAAAACACAATCTTTTTTGCATTGTAGATAGAGTCGTCCCCCTCGCGGACACCCCCTCCAACGGGTCCCTGCATCACGGCTCAGGACCCCAATACCCACAGGTCACCCTTAATCGCAGGGTGAAAGAGCAGGAATTTAGATGCCCTGCCCGAAGATCTAAACTGAAATGCATAAAAAAATGACAAAATGATACACTCTTTGCACACTGTCAAAGATCATATTGCAGACAAAATCAACTATGTTCAAATCAAAACAAAAATACTAGCCCATCTGGTGGCTGATGGCACAAGCTTATAAGAAAATTCTATTACAGTGAACCACATTATTTTAATTGATTTCTTCGCCAGTTAGTCGTCTGTCACTTCGTGTGTGCCAATAGGCTACTAAGGCTCTGAACCATTTGGTGGATTATTTTAACTTTTGGTTAAAATTTGAATGGAAAGTTATCGATTAACCCTGCTATCCGAGCGTGGTTACTTCTGACAGACAAGAAGTTAAATTTTGACAACCTTGGCTAAGTTCTTCTCGAAAACCGGTCGATCGACAGCTCAGGGATTTTCGAACATAGAAAATAACTTTCGAAATGTCACTTTTAACCACGAGTTAAATTTAACTCGGCAAATGGTTCACAGCCTAAAGTGGTGAGCCAATTTAAAATCGTTAGTTTCGTATAGGCCTTTTTAATAGAAACTAAACGATCGATTCAGCCTCTGGTGGTGGATAGGAGAACGTCAAAAAGAGTGTTGTGAGCATACATTTTTGCCTTGAGACATAGGAAGCGGAACACTTTTTTACTTTTCCTGATAAATTGATTCATCTGAGATGCTGCAAAACTTAATCTACAGTTGAAACATTTAATTCTGTAACGTTTTTGAAAAGATCCTGCTGGAGTTCAGGAATATTTTTGTTGAGAGAAATGGAAAATTAGAAAAGTGCCTTAGTGGTTATGATCTTCCGGATTTCTTGTGTGTGAATAGTTTAGGTGCAAATCAGTTCAGATTTGTGGAAAATCGTACAATAAGACAATTACCGATGGAAATTGGCAAGTTTTTGAATGAAAAATGCTGTTATTTGCGTTGGGGAAAATACTTATTCTGATGTAAACAAACGGTTTGGTTGACGTTTCTTCTCGAACTCGCGTGGTGCACTCTACGTTGGTGGTGCATTAAAAAGGCGTATTGATTGTTGGTAGTAGTGTTGCCATGTGGTACAATCCAGTAGTAGTGGTGTTGCCATGTGGTACACTGAAAAATTGCAATAGCAGATTATTCACCAAAGTTTTCGAGCCGCTCCGTCTGTCACTTCGTTTGTGGTATTACCAACAATCAATACGAAACTAAAGGCCCAAGTGCAATGAGAGCGGAAGCGGAACGGCAGTGGCAGCGGAAAAGCCCGGTCTGAGTAAGCCTATTTGTCGGATTGAAAACTAGTTAGAACCACAAACGAAGTGACAGACGACTAACTGGCGAAGAAATCCATTAAAATAATGTGGTTCACTGTAATAGAATTTTCTTGGAAGCTTGCGTTTCTCCGGGACCTTCTAGTCTTAGAATTACCTCTATGGTATTACCACAAACGAAGTGACAGACGGAGCGGCTCGAAAACTTTGGTGACTAACCTTCTATTGCAATTTTTCAGTGTACCACATGGCACACTACTGGATTGTACCACATGGCAACACTACTATTGGATTGAACTACCATTTTCACCAAATGTACTAGAATATTTTGGTTCTATCTCTTTCACTCTACTCAAAACTGAAATGCATAAAAAAATGACAAAATGATACGCACTCTTTGCACACTGTCAAAGAATCATTGTACACAAAATCAACTTTGTTCAAATCAAAACAAAAAAACTAACCCATCTAGTGGATGATGGCACAAGCTTCCAAGAAAATTCTATTACAGTGAACCACATTATTTTAATGGATTTCTTCGCCAGTAAGTCGTCTGTCACTTCGTTTGTGGTATTACCTTCCGGTTGAATACTGTCGGCAAGGGTAGTGGCATCATTCAGAATTTAATCCTTTTCGCTCTGACTTTTGCCGGCCGAGAAGGTTCCTCAGCTCAATGTCCTCATCCTCATCTTATTCCTCCTGTTCGTCCATATCTTCGTCGGATGAAAACAGTTTCTCCGGCTGTGAAAACAAAGGGAAAGTATCTTCCAAAATACTTACCAATAATGTGATTCTGAGCTGGGTTACAGTTTCGCATATGGGATGATAGCAGCAGCAACACACGAACGGCAGCAGCAGAAATACACAACCAATGCTGGAAGCGACGCGGTTTTGACAGTGTTTATTTTTTCATCCAAATAGGAGTAAATTGCAACTACCCATATTTAGGAAAAGCTACTTTACTCATAATGTGAGTGAATTCTACTGATTTTTATCAGTATCATTCACCCATATTATACACGCTAACTTGAAAGTACCCATTAATGGGTAAAAAAAGACCCATTTCTAAGAAAAGTGGCTTAACTCATTAAATGAGTAAACCCAATATTACTCATTAATGAGTATTTGATACATACTTCAAAAAATGGGTACTTTTTAGCTTTCATGTTCTTACTGGAGATGAATAAAAAATACCCATTTTATCAACAAAATTATTTTATGGGCTTCCTGCCGTAAATAATTTAACCAAATATTAAAAGTAGTCAAAAGAAAAAAAAATAATAATCTTTTATATTGCTCTAAAATATAATAAAATATGTGTTACAGATTGTAACCTGCCACCCTTTAAACGAGAAAAGGTTGTTCCGGCCTCGGTTCCGGCTGTTCCGATTTCAACCTTCGTCACCGTCTTCCATTGCCAAACCATCCTGATATTCGATTAAATTCCACTGGTTCCACGGCTACCCAGTAAAATTAGCACTCATTCGCCAGTCTCCACTAATCGAAGCTAAAGGCAATCTCCTTTACTTTCACTTCGCTAACCTGAAACGGAACTGAGAACGGAACACATCACACTTCTAGTTTGATTTCTAGCTCTTACCTCGTGAAAATCACCTCGGTTTGCTTGGTGAGACTTCTATCCGGCGCACTATTTTCACCCGAATTAATACCGGCCAGATGGAATCTGCTAGCACAATCAAACTACCGTTCGAGTTTCCTTCGCGTATCCTCTTGAGCCGTGACTTTTTTCTACATGTTTCCAAAATGCAAAATAACAATAATGTGTTTACTCATTTTTATTGCATGAAGTCATTTTTTAAAGTGAATAAAAAGTAACCATTTTTCATTTTTGGAAAATACCCATTTTTTGACAACATAGTATGGATTCCAAAAAAGAGTTAAAGATACTCATTAAATGGGTACTTTCAAGTTAGCGTGTAGGTATTGTATCAGAAACCCAAATATGGGTGAATCAACTATCTATTTATGGCTGAACTAAACTAAGCGTGTAAACTTAACTGGGGAATATTAATTGGCCGTGTATATATTGTGCCCGGGCCTTTAGAATATCGCACACACCTATTGACGAATTGTCAAACTGTGGATCGCATTTTTTGACAAAAACATCTGTTTGTTTCGCGCCGATTTCAGTTTGGCTTGTCCCGCGATTTTTCCACTAAATTTATCATTTCTGCCTCGACTTCTTTCAAGTATTGACGTGTTTGCGCGAAGCTCGGAGAACCGTGTTTCTAACGCATCAAATTATTATAAACTAAGCAACTATTAGTGAGTATTTAACATTAAAACTGCAAGCATTTAAATTAAAAGCCTACGTTGTTTTTACGCAGAAAACCCAAAATGTTCGAAGCTCGTCTTGTTGCCAGCACTACGCTGAAAAAGGTCCTGGAGGCCGTGAAGGACCTGCTGAATGAAGCCACGTTCGACTGCAGTGACTCGGGTATTCAATTACAGGCTATGGACAATTCCCACGTTTCATTAGTATCACTATCACTTCGTTCCGATGGTTTCGATAAGTACCGCTGTGATCGAAATCTCTCTATGGGAATGAATCTGGCCAATATGTCCAAAATCATGAAGTGCGCCAACAATGATGATACCGTGACCATGAAAGCACAAGACAATGCGGATACAGTCACTTTTATGTTTGAATCGCAAAACCAGGAGAAAGTCTCTGATTATGAAATGAAGCTGATGAATCTGGATCAGGAGCATTTGGGAATTCCGGAGACGGATTATGCTTGCATTGTACGGATGCCTGCTATTGAATTTGCCCGTATTTGCCGAGATCTGTCTCAATTCGGTGAATCCGTTGTCATCTCTTGTACGAAAGAGGGTAAGTTTACTCTATTTTACTCGAAGAATCAATAATAATCGTTGCCTTTTCAACGTAGGAGTAAAATTCTCTGCATCTGGCGATGCTGGATCGGCTAACATTAAGTTGGCTCAGACCTCCTCTGTCGACAAAGAAGATGAAGCGGTTGTTATCGAGATGCAAGAGCCAGTAACACTGACTTTCGCTTGCCGTTACCTGAACTCTTTCACTAAGGCGACTCCGTTGTCCAGCCAGGTGCAGCTTTCCATGTCGGCTGATGTTCCACTTGTTGTGGAATACAAGATTCAAGATCTAGGACACATCCGGTACTATCTGGCACCGAAGATCGAGGATGATGAAAACTAATGTTTAAGATATGTCATATTTCTAATTGCGTTCTAGATGTGGTAGGGTTAAGTTATTACGAATAAGGAAAAATTAAAAAATTTCTCTAACAAATGATAGGTTTTCATGATTGTGAAAAACCACAAACTCAATGAAAAATGAATCTTCAACTATTTTATATGCCCCACAATAATGGAAGCTATCAAATAGAAGGGTTCCGTAATTGTCAGGGGGGGGGGGGGGGGTTGGTCTGTACCTACCACATTCTTATACAGATTGAGATTGACAGGATTGCCCTAAAATGTACATACATTGCCACTTAGTCAGATCTGTCCATCCATTGGGAAACCCCAAGTAATACACGGATGATCAGATTAAACTCAAAATTGTTTGGTTTTTCGCTCAAAATCGTAAAAACTTAGGTTACTCATACAGGGCTATTCTGCGCGGCGTGTGAGGTGAAGTAACAGTGAAGTGATGGTGAACAATAATTGTATCTCAGGCCTATTCTGCGCGGCGTGTGAGGTGAGGTGACTCGCTCTCACTTGTGAAGTGACAATTATTGTCACTTCACAAGTGAGAGCGAGTCACCTCACCTCACACGCCGCGCAGAATAGGCCTGAGATACTACTTTGATAAATAATCAGTAAGCCCAGAATTATTCTGGACTGACTGATTATTTATTTTTCCGGAGATGAACCAGCCTGCGGCTGAAAATCTCCTAAAAAGAGAAAAAAAAAAGATTATTTTATCAAATGCCTCTCCGAGTATATAACTCACAGATGCCTTGTTGATTTCTGGTCTCTAATGGATTGGTCCTGAATTTGTTTGATATCCTGTTTGAAGTAATTCTATTCCTCCTCCTTAGCCATTGATATCACGTTCCAGCTTGTACGTGTCTCATGTCATATGATTCGCCATTCATAAAGTTAATGGGTTAAAAGGGAGTAAAACATACATAAAGGTATACACTCAGGTATTTTTTTACACGGGGGATACGTACCGTGTAAAAAAAAACCGCGTAAAAAAAAACCTACGAGGTTTTGATTTTTCACATGCTTAAATGTTTTTAGAAAATCGGATTTTGATGCCATTTGTAATTATAGCATGCTATGGTCCATATAGACATATTTTAAAAATTTCTGTATTTACACCAAAAATGTGATTTTTTTCTAAGTATGCCATTCGATTACCTATAGCTTGAAACGGATAATGTGATTGAAATAAAGTCGATAGATTGTATCGTTGTCGAGAAATCGTTAAAAAACGTACCGTGTAAATCGCGAAAAACCGTGTAAAAAGAACCGTGCAAAACAAAAAACCGCGTAAAAAAAAACCGAGTAAAAAAAGACTTCAGTGTATTAGTATTAGTTGTACAATAGAAAGAAGCATAGATAAATTAGTAGGAAAATAAAACTAATCACCGCCATATTCTTGTTTTCGTTCAAACCGTATTTTCCATACAAAAAAAAAAAGTTTTTTGTATGGAAAATACGGTTTTAACGAAAACAAGAATATGGGTGAATATATAACTAAAAGTGCAATGGATGAGTGTTAGTTCCGGGATCATTTTAGTGTTATACCCCGTTCACATTACAGTTTATATCACGTAATATAGGCTGTCTTGCAATGAGCACTCATACATAGGATTTCCAGTGAAAACTAGATGTATGAGTGCTCATTGCAAGACACCGTATATCACGTGATATACGCTGTAATGTGAACGGGGTATTAAGAGTTATGTTAGTTCCGTATTCAGCCCTGCCGGCCCTTCCAGCACTATTTGCAGCAATTGAGGAAATGACACATAGTACTAGATTTGTGCTGCTAAATGTAAAGAAACCTAATATCCATCTCCCACTGATAGTTGATATTTTAAAGCAACCATCAAAATAAACAGACAATATATGAAAAGACTAGTTGCCGGTTGCTTTAAGGCTAGTTGCCTCCCTAAGCGGTCCCCCGCCTCCTAACTCTTTTGTTAATCTACTTAATGTTATTAGGCTGCCTATATTTTCTTATTTCTTTATATTAAGTTCGTTTGATGATTATGATATCTCATTAGCCTTTTCTAACAAATAATTGAAATCTCTAATCTACCTAATCAATTATAACCCATGCTTTATTAAGTACCTGCACTTGTGCATGTAATCTAAAATTTAATATGTTTCAAGTTGTTTTTGTCTTTGACCTATATTTATTATAAATTAGTTCGTCCCAGGTGACACCTTCAAGTGAATAAAATCGAAGACAACAAATCAATAAGACAGCGTTTGTATGATAAAATGGAATAGTTTCCAGTCTTCTTGATTTGTTGTCTTCGCTAAAATGCTTCACTTTGAAGTTAGTTTCCTAGCTGATTTTTAAATTGCATAGAGTATATGCTCCAACTACACTTACACGTTTCCACTATGTCGCACCACAAAAATACGTATGGGTATGTCACATAGAAGCACGCCACAGTGGAAATCCCGAGCCATAGTTCAAACATTTATCCCAAATCAAAATGAAGCACGTATAAGATTAGTTACAATACCATGTACAAAAATGGTGCCTAGCATTGTTCCCTGAGTTCCCTTGTCACGTAAATAGAAGGAGCACTATTGGGCACTTTCTGAAATATTTCAATAGTATAATTCCCTTGCAAAACCCAACTAGATCTTTGGTTTTCTCATGCAGTGGTTCATCAGAGAGGGGAAGCCTAGTAATCCCCATTGCCTGCCCATGACGCCATTCTATCGCGGCATGAGCCAGCAACGCCGGCCATAAACCTACCATCTCCAACACTCCACTATAAAGCATGAAATTAAGCCCGCCCACCAGCAAGATGGTGCAAAAACTAGCTAAGGGGAGGGGAAAGGGAATTATATTTTTACGATTTTGAGAACTTTAATCGTTATGGTTTTGGCAGTCGGTAAGATTTATGTATGGTTTTGTAACATCCATCAACTTTATGTGGAATATATCGCGAATTGGTTGCCTGTAATATATTGATAACCAATTCACGATATATTCCACGTAAAGATGACCGATAATACAAAACAATTAATGGACCTTACTGGCTATCATAACCATTACCATTAAAGTTCTCAAACCATAAGTAAAAGGTTCTAACATAGAGGTAACTCTAAGACTAGAAGGTCCCGAAATAACGTGCTCAACTTTTTGGATCAGCTCTGGTACTCTCTTCGGTCCCAAGCTAATCGATTCACCCCTCGAAACCGAGGGGGGCGACACATCTAAATCTCAATTCTAGATGCTCAACTAATCTCACACTAGCGAATCAAACTTCGAAAAAATTTCTTTGATTTCTCGCATCTATTTGCATCGCGCATCATCTTTTTGCAGGAAATCTTCAAAATCGTCATCAATCTTCTTGATATCTACTCAGCGTGCGCGCAGCTAACCACAGCAAAACACAATTGGGTTCTTCAATTTTGAAAAATGTATCGTTTTTTATACATCATCTGTAAGAGCTTCGTTTTCTGAGCACAGCGATATTTTTTTTCGAACCCACACACTTTCATCTCGATTTTTAAATCAAGGTTTGAAGCAAAATAATAACTTCACTGTTTGACGCTAAACTAACAAACTGACAGCTCGCTCCCATACAAAGTGACACCGAGGGGCGCTAATAAGGTGATGTTTGCAAATGTAATCGTGCTTATTTAAAATAGTTCCAGTGTAGCAAAATTGATTAAATTTTGGGTTTGGGTTCCATTTTTAATGCAGATTACGATTATGCATTTTCCTCAATACGCTTAAAGAACCCAATTTTTCCTGCATCGTAGATAGAGTCGCCCCCCTCGCTCGAAACATAGGAAAAACCAATAACCCCTCATTTTATCTGTCAAACTTTCATAGCGAATCAAAACAAACATTGCGTAGTACTAGAATTTCGACTAGAATGGGGTATGTTAATCGTTTGCTTGGGACCAATAGGCTAGTCAAGTAGTGAGCCAATTTAAAATCGTTAGTTTCGTATTGATTGTTGGTTCTAATATAGTCCTCTCTCCGAAAATGTATGGAGAAAACAACTATTTTGAATGGTAGTGGTTCCTAACAACCCATTTTTTGTAAGGTTCACTTTCAAAGAACCATAATACATAAGGTTAAAACTTTATCACAATCTCAAAATAATGTTTTATTTCAAAGTTCGAGTGGTAGTAAACGTCATTTTAACTGCTCGAATGAAGTGGTTAGTTGATTTTGAGAATTGACCACTTTGTCAAGCAGTTTTGGCGTGACTTTCTACCAGCGATTTCACAAAACTGGACCAACTAATTTCTATTTTTTTGTGAAACGCACAAATGTTGGCTATACTTTTCTCGAGGTTCTGGAAGAAAAAATCTCAAAATAATGTTTCATTTCAAAGTTCGAGTGGTAGTAAACGTCATTTTATCTGCTCGAATGAAGTGGTTAATTTACAGCACTGCTGATAGGAGATAGAAACCTGGATAGACAGTAGACTGATGCAAATTTTGACATTTTCGCTCCACAGTGCTCAAAAGGTTCCAAATCGGGTCCTGATTAGTCTGAACAAAACATTTGGTTTTCCTATAGTAATTTCCATATAAACTTCAAATGGTTTGTGCCAAGTCAGTTTCTTATCAAATGAGTTCAAATTTTGGGAGACTAATCAGGACCCGATTTGGAACCGTTTAAGCACTGTGGAGCGAAAATTTCAAAATTTGCATCAGTCTATTAGACAGGGTATTTTCGAAAATAGGTAGTATAGGCACTCTTCTGCTCGAATGGTCATCTTTAGCTACGAACGAAGCCCGGCTCTCCCACTGCTCGAATAACGAAGAGCACGCAATACCCGAGAGCGCTATTCGTTCATAACGTGATCGTAGGTACGATACAGCGATGGGGTGATGATCATCCGATTTTGAATCTACACCCACTGAGCTATATAAGCTCAAGGATCGAGCCACTTTTTTCCTAGGAAAGCAACAAGTGAAGTTCGGTTATTTTCACCAAAAGTTTTTCTAAAAAGTATTGCTAAAAGTTAAGGAGATAGTCTCGCAGTAGTATAATAGTGCTAATCGTATAGGAGTTTCGACTCGCACGTT